CACCATCGGATGCCGGCTCAGTGGTCTATCCATTAAGTTCTCTTGCGTGGAACTGTTAGGTCCTGGGTTGGAATCTCGCAAGCCGAGGTGTTGGATGTGCACTGTTGAGGAGTTCCATAATAAGACGAAACGGCCGTCCAGTGGTTTCAGGTTTTCCATGGTAGTCTAGCTTCAATTGACTTACGCTTTCAATTATATATAAAATTACTAAAACGCTCCACAAAAACCCTTTCAAATTTGATATAGTTCAATTTATGAATGCATGTTAAAGTAGATCATCATTGAACATCCGAGGGTATACGAATATGTATAAGATTACAATGAAGATACTGCAAGTATGGGAAGTTTGACAGTGCTTTAACATCCAACAAGTGAAACCAGAAGACAGAAGTGAGGAAGTTCGAAGAAATATTTGATAGATTCACTTGTTCTTTTTTGTTTAGATCTTCCCATTGATGTTTAGGACGGCAATTGATCAGTCTCTTATTACAATATGCGCATACTGTGCTTATTGCCTCGATATAGCCTTAACTCATAGTCATTTCAAGTAAAGATGGATAGTAGCTAGCAGTGGAAACCAGGACACACGTTTCATCCCATATGTGATCTGTCAGAGTTCACTCTGGGAGTCCAACGCAGTTCCTTTCCCTTTAAACGCGATCGCGTTATCCACTCAGCTACAGAATCCTGATAGTCACTTGTGAACATCAACTCTGAGATCCAGGTGCATCTATATGATGAGTACCAAATAGGACGGATCGCACGTCCTGAATTTCACTGCTAGCCACTATTCATTTTTGCTTATATATTTGATAGGTTATTAAAACATTGTGGATCGACTAAACTAATCTGGCTAACGATTACCGAGGATGTGCATTGTAATACGTAAATGGTTAGAAATTTAAACCTTTTCATGAATTCACATGTGCTTGTGGTATCAAGTATACACGAAGTAGTAAAAGAGAGCTTTGTTCTAGGATTCTAATGTATTTACCTCTACCTGAAAGTTAATCCTCATAGGTACAATCACCATGTATCAGATGGTTAATGAATATAATTACTTCGTAATGATAAATTTTATGAAAATAATTTTCATTTTCATTACCTTAATAAAGCTGTTCTGCTTTGAATGTCTACTCTTACGACATACAAAACCGCATCGATAGTAACTGGGGTTAAATGCATATTTTGTGTTTACTTTCTTATAATGACTACCAGTTCTGTTTCAAATGTACACCTTAATCTCACTGAATAGATTATGTTACAACATTAAACATAATTAGTTCGCTTCTTGTAATCCTAAGTTGTTTGTAATGGATGAAAGCCTTGTAGTGAATAAGAACATCAGTTGGGATAATCGAATGTATTTGAATACAAAATCACAGAGTTTCTAAATGGAATCAGAGGATTATACAGTAAACACTTCATTTGAGAAATATCAATCAATTGTCTCAAGCTTCATCGTTCGTGTTTTCTGCTTCCATTCATTCCTTCTCAATCTTCTACTTAAATATATCTTATTTCTGACTATTATTATATATTACTTATGTGGATATAAGTAGCATACATCATGGCTTTAGAGCAGAATGCATTCACTCAATTCTGTAAATCTTCTTTCCTTTCCTCATGTTTTGGCATGTATAGTCTCTGTAACTACAATTAAACAATGTCAAATAATAAATTCGAGATCGAAAGACCTGGGTTAGAGTCTCACATTTTGGAGTCCCATAGTAGGAAAACAAAACGACTGTACAGTACTTTCAGGTTTTCAATGATAGTTTATCATTGATCGATTCATAATGTGAATATGCACTTAGCTGTGTTTAATAAAACTACAATGTATACTATTATGTACATGATGCGAAATGTTGTTTATATTCACTTCATGAAAACACTTGAATGATTAAAACAGAGAAGAAAGATACTACTTATAAATTTTTTTATTTAACATATTAATTACTCAGGCATGAATGAATACAAAGGGTATGGTATTTGATCTTTTCAACTGAATAACCATTTGACTAAGGAAACAAGGCATTCCTTATTCAAACATGGTGAGATGACTTTGGACTTAGAATCTCTTGATTGTTAATAAGTGTAGTTATACAATAAAGTTTGTTAAAAAGTACTAAATATTCATCAATTACTTATTGGATAAGGCAACTCAATTGAATTTTCATTGTCTCAATTAGCTCACCGTTAATAAACAAGATAGATATGGGTATATTGAATTTGTATGGTCCTCCTTTGATTTCTATTGAATGATCATCTTACTAATCATTTGTCTCAAGTATTGGAGCCACACGATTGTCTTACATAAATTGACAAATTGATGATGTAAAATAAAATTTCTAGAATTGTTCATGCGGTGGAAACTAGCTCAATAGCACTTTTCTTATATAATTGATCAAAGCTCTTACCTGAAAATCATTGGCAGGATGAATCTACAACTCAGTGATGATGTTCACTTCAAGGCTCAAAAAAGTCAGGGAAAAACCCCCATATACTCGATTCCCCTGTTAATCATATTCCATCTAGTTTACATAATAGAAACTGTTTAAGTTATTTCATAAGTTTACACTCGAGGAGGTAGTGTGATAAGTGTACGAGATAATCGTCGTCTACTGGTTGTATCTAATATATACGAATACATTCGATGATGGTATTCGTACAGTCGTTGAATAACTTCACGTTTTATTTCTTATTATGATGCAAGTATTTGTTACTTCATATGTTTTAATGAAATGATACATAATATGAATTCGTTAAGCAATGATGATTAAATACAATAACTTATGTTTAATTCACTTGGTGTTCTTTACTTGTATCTTCCCATTATTATTTTGGACTGCAATTGATTAGTCTTTTGTTAGCATGTATGCATCCTGTGTGAACTGCCTCGATATTACCTGAAGTCACGAGCTTCATTAAGGAGGATGGATAGTGACTTATTTCAGACTTGTCAGATGGATGTGCCTGCATCTCAGTGTTGATGTTCACTTTGGGACTCGAACCCAGTACCGTTCCCATCAAATGCTATCATGTTTTCCACTTAGCTACTAAGTCCTGAGTCGTTAATTCTATACATCATTATTTACAGAAATAACAAATCAAATCAACGATCTTATTTATTATCATGTTATTATTTTTTTATAACGAACCCTAATGGGTATCTATATCGTTAGTTTTTGTAGTAACTCCCTTCCGATTACAACTAAACCAAAAAGACGACATTGACGAATAACGTCTTTGTAATAACACTTCACTCCAAATTGTATAAGAAAGTGTAAAAAAGGTACTTCCAACTCAATATTTTTAGTTACGGGTTACGGAGATTCAGTAGTCTTCTTCGAATCGTCTCCATTCAATAGGATGGGAAATTCAAACCAGGTATCAAGATAAAGTACATTCTGTAAATCTATTAAAGTCCAGTCCTCTGGGTCGTATACAGACCTACAATAACTCCACTTCTAAATTGCTGTATAATGACGCAGTACAGTTTGGCGACTACCTATGAAAGTACTGTGTCGACACTCAGTATTCCTTATATAATATAATACAGTCATCAAATCTGTATGGAAAAGTAACTTCATAGCAGAAATTGGGGAAGCTCTTTCTTAAAACTTTGTCCACCTTAACTTGCTATATTAGAGTAACGATTGATTTAATGTGTAACAGCAAACAGGTTGGTTGTTGTGACGTATTAGCCAATTCGCAAGCAGCTATTACATTACCAATTTCCAGCGCATCATCAAGAAAATGAAATTCTATTATTGTGGATTTTTCCCAAAATTTTATGGTGTGGTTTATTTACATCAGCATAAGTAATGTGTAACGAAGGTCGGGCATTGAATGTTTTTCAGTAGAATAGAGATAAGGAAAGAAGGAAAGGAAACTCAATTGACTATGGACTGATATTTGCAGAAGGAACAGTCAAGATTGAGACAGTTGCTTGATGGTTTGTAACTTAACTGTCTTGACGTTCGTATGACTTTATAAAAAGATAGATGCATGACAACTTGCCATGGATTCTTTGTCCGGTTTTATATCATGTGAATTATTCAGCTATGGAAATACGACTTAACGACCTTAACGATGTGATAAATCAATGACATTCAACCGGTATGAAAAGTCTAGCGTCCTTTATCCGCCTAGTCCTTCCAATTGAGTCTAGAACACTAATTACAGCTTCTGCTTTGCGAATCATTTATTTCAAGCATACTCGGTTTATATACCACACACACAGACCGCATCACACTGTAAAATAGAAAATATTATTTGTAAAAGTTCAAGCTAAATGTGGCTGTGAATGTGTGATACAATAATCAATAAAGTGAATATAATTCAGTAAGAGTAAATCGTAAACATTAAAAGATAGATAGAAAGATGAAGAAGTCAGAAGAAAAGAATTTAGCACAACACAAAGAGTGGATGCACTTTCGCCGTTGCAAACGATTTTGAGCCATTTCATCGATTGCTATCATCTAGCGCATCCCAACCAGGTAGTCTACACCTACCAAAATAGCTCAGTTCAATTGTCAGTGACTTCATGGATTTGTGCCACATTTTGGTCTGGCCGCCTCTAGATTTCTTCCAACGTACTCCTACACCATAGAACATTGCACGTTGGGGCAGTCGGTGGTTATGCATATGCAACACGTGTTCCAGCCATCTCAACTGATGAAGTTTCTCTATTTCATTTACATCACGAATGTTAATTACAACAATCTATGGATTAGACCGAAAAGTAACAAATATATTAATATTCTAATTCATTAGAATATCTCATCGAATCAAATATGTAAATAGCGTTGTGTCAATCAATCGATGATTCCAATACTAATACACAGACTTCCTATATTCACGTATGAATGAATATATATTCCGTTAAAATTGTAACATTCCTTCTCATTTTTCAATGTGTTTTCATGGCAATTGAGATGACAGTTTGAAATTTACAGTTAGATGTTCTTTACATACTTTCAATTTTTGGAATCAGTTTGGTGTTGTTCACATCTGCATTATTGATTGGTGCAGCGATTAGGGCAGATTCGGTCGATCACTCCAGAACAATCCATGCTAATGTATCCGACAGGATCAAAGTAGAATCAGTTATTGACTCGATAGCTAGCGAAGTCACCAAGCGAATAATCTCACGAAATAACGTGATTATATATAATATACCTGACAAGGTTGCCATCAAAACTGTAAGAAACTCGATACTAAAGGCAGCTAACCTCCAGGACAGTCCATGCCAATGTATCCGACTTAACAAAAAGTATCGAAAATACTCATGCCCTATCCTGTTTAGATTCGATTCCCATTTATTAGTGGAACGTTTGATAGAATCTGAACAGCTAGTCTGTGAGCATATGAAGTTTAAAAACGCTCGTATAGTCTCAGACAAAACCACCAATCAAAGACTAACACAAAAGCGTACCATGAACGAAAATAACATTGTTGAGGTCACAACAAATGTGATCGCGTCAGCAGCTGAACCCACTGGTGCAGCTAATCTATCTCAATTTATTCAGTGTACTGATATACCAATGCAGTGTGTTAGTTTGCCTCTCAAACCCATAGTGACCCTAGTTAACCAGGACATATCTGATGTAGACTCTAATGTCATTCTTTCCAGTGTAATATCGGAAGCCAAGGATCGTACACCTGATTCTGTTGTGAAGGCTCATAAAAACACTGCTAAACCTAAAAAGAATATATCAATTAAAAAGAAAGTAAATAAAAAACCTTCTAGTTCTAAACCGATTACCAAAAATATTTCAACGGCTTTACCAAACAAAAGTATAATTTCTGAAACTATGCTTAACCCTACTCATCGTAAGGGAGGTTATAAGGACACGTTTCGTTCAAACGTTACACGAGACGGCCACTGCAATCATCATGTAAGCAGGCCTATTATTAGACAGACGGCAATAAACCAACGTGACGCATGGTTTCCCCAAATGTTATAAATAATGAACCTGCAAGATGTAACTCTTATCATCACTCTTGCAGTGGGGAAGATGGTATACTAGGTTATGCACCATCAACGCAACCCCAACACGCAGGCACCTGTTTCAATTGTCCACCAAAACAAGTACAACCTTTCCAAAATAAAGATTTTTTTCGACCTCCAGAGATCTTTTGTTCCACTAGCACTACAATTCGCTCATGCTATAGCCCATGCGATCCGGCAAACACGTTAAAAAATAGTCCAGGCATAGCTAGAACTCATCTCCTCGGCCAATAAATATTATTTCAGTTATCTCTAGGATTATGGAAAAAATTATTAGCGACGAACTGTTCAACTATTTATTGACTAAACAATTTATTGATGATTCGCAACATGGATTTCTTAAAAATGGATTTTGCATGACATGTCATTTTGACTTCTTTAATTTAGTCTATTCGCTTCGTAGCCAAGGATATCTAGTACTAGCGCTATACCTGAACATTTCTAAGGCCTTCCACATGGTCAACTACCAACTTCTCATAGGTAAACTCGCATCTTATGGGGTCCAAAACCCGTTACTAGCCTGGTTTGATTCCTTCCTCAGCAATCGACATCAAATAGTTAAAATCAACTCTTCATTGTCGAATGCCATCCCTGTTAGAAGTGGGGTAATTCATGATAGTGTTTTAGGTCCTTTGCACTTTTTAGTTTTCATTATTGATATTTGTGAGTGTTTTAGTGTGGGTAAGTCCCTTTTGTTTGCAGACGATCTTAAGGTGGTGTACTCATTTTCTCCACATGAGCTGAGCAATATTCGAAATTGCATCAGCACGGAGCTTAACAAGGTAGCACAGTGGTGCTCAGAATGGCAACTGGAGCTTAATACAGCTAAATGTGGTTGGTTATGCTTCAGTGATACATCACTCAACCTCGATCTTACCATAAATGGTGAAATGTTATCTAGGTTACACACAGTAGTAGACCTAGGACTTGGGTACTCCGACAACGTGTCGTTTAGTGAACAGATAATGAAACAAACGTTCAAGTCTCAACGCCTTATAGGTTACATAACTCGAAACCTTCATAACAGCGAATCTCGTATATTATTGAACAAAGTCTGTGTTTGACCACTTCCCGAATACTCCGCGTTTCTTCTTAGTAGCACGCGCTTAAAGGATAAATTAAGACTGGAATCAGCACAGAGACGATTTACATTTCGTACTCTTGGACCTGATAGTGTTTTGACATATAATTCGAGGTGTAGTAAACTAGGGCCTGACCTTTCATGGAAGAGGAGACTCAAACTCAACCTTATCATCTTTTTCAAAATATTCTTCTTCACATCCAATCACGTGATTCAATATGCTAAAACCTCACATTGCGACATTCGTAACTCCTTGTCTTTAGGCAAACACACATATTCTATATCTTCTCTCTATATGAATTAATTTGCCTGTAAGTTTTCTAGGCTCTGGAATAACTTACCTCAAACTATCCGTATGTTAACCTCCATCCCATTGTTTGTTCGCTCAATTAATGATTTTTGCTCCGCATTAAATGCTCTAGCGCCTGCAAGTAAATCTTACTCCACAAGTGAGATTATAAAAACTTTAAATGTTTAACCTCTTACTTGCTATCATTGTTTTATTGTTCCGTACTCTTCGCTTTAATCTTACTTTCTCTAGTTGTCGATAATTATCAATAACTCGCTTTGGCACTAGATATAAACTGACAGAACATCAGGCTATCCACTTAAGAAAAAATGACAAGTTCCCTGGTGTTGCATTGGCTTGTCATGACATATGCTATATTTGAACTATTTATCAATTACTAAACCAGCAAACATAAAACTTTCTTATATTTCATGTTTTCTCTTTACATTAAATGTTGATTTTTATAAGAATCTGACCATGCCTGTAAACTGGTGTGGATTCTGTAAATATTATTTTCAGAATATAACTTAATATCATAGTAAGGAAACCATAATCATTGTAACAAGTTTTATTGGTCAACCAAATCTTCGAATATGTTTACAATGATTCATATGTATTTATCTTGTCATTCAGATGGTAAAGTCAAATATTCAACCAATGGCAAGTAGTATGTTTTCTGAAACTGAAAGCCCTTTGCGTGCGCATATAACTTTATTGATATTTCATTCACCCACTATATCAGGTGAATACTATTATCCAGTCAAGTAGAAGGATTTACATCATATAAAAAGTAGACGTGATCTCTCTGGGATGATATAATAAAAAATGGCATGACAATACTATACTATTTTGATAAATATTACACTTAAAAATGCAACTAAACTCACACTTGATCTGTACTAACTTACGTAACAATATATAATTGAATTGATGAATTCGGCAAAATGTAAAGGACATAAGTAATATACAACACTACTCAGGAATAGAATGTCTAGTAGTACAAGATCGAAAAAGATTGAGGTGTTAAGAACCGAAACCGAAAGCAAGAACAATGAATTACGAGACAACCGATTGACATTTTGTAAATGATGTATTTACTCTATGGTTATCAGGTTTTACTAAGACGTTCTGCAATCTTATGTTCATATACAGTCGATTGTCCCCACTTGTGTTCTACTTCACTACAATATATCTGGTGTGGTCTAGTTATTAAATAGATGAATGGAGTAACAGACATCTGAGTCTTATGAAATGGAATCAACAATCTTCGTATCCAATCACAAAACTGTTCAAATGAAATACAACACACACCGATGTTGATGAAATAGGACAAGTAAGAGAGTGATTGAGTAGGGGAAAAAATAACGATTATGATCTTATACATAGTAGACCAATAGATTATGTTTGTATCACATTTTGATCGTGATTGTTATCATGAGTTTGTTATCATTAATTGTTACCTTTAAATGAACCTTGATCTGATATAAGAGTATGAACTGTGATAAGGAATATAAACGTCAATTTTTTTATTTGTAAACATTTTGTCAAAGTTCAATACATATCAGACGTAAACAAAGTATTCATTACAACTCCATATAATGAATGAGTCTATATTGTATCTGACTACGAACTGAGATCAGTTCACTAAACACTACAGGTAAGCCTCAATCATCCGTGTCATTAATGTATGAATTCGTTGTCGTTGGTTTTTTTTCCATCGCATTATCGACTTACCAACCGAGTTCTCATATCCAACTGCTTGTGCAATGATATGACGTCTAAGTTCACTTGGTGTTGTTTACTTGTATTTTCCCATTAATATTTAGGACTGCAACTGATCAGTTTCTTGTTGGCATATCTGCATACTGTGCGGACTGCCTCGATATTGCCTGAACTCACAAGAGACTGTTCAATTGCAGTCCTAAATAACAATGGGAAGATACAAGTAAACAACATCAAGTGAATTAAGTTTTCAATAGTTTATTGAAACAATTGGTAATAATAAATACGTGAGCAATGTGCTACTGTTGTCGACAGAGGTAAGTAGCATGCAGCATCGAACGAAAGTGAAATGCCTGACAGGAGAAATTTGAAAACGCGAGAGAAGAAAGAACGAGAACAAAGAATGATTGACGTAGAATCGAAAGGCCAATGAAGACTGAGACGAGTGATTGACGTTTCGTAGATGAAGTATTTATTGTTTGGTTCTCAGATACGCCCGACAGTCCCCATATGTGTTCTTCACTACAGTAATAACCAGGTCTATTCACTCCGTAGAAGTAGCCTGCATTACTTCACTAAACATGAGAAGTATAACTTTTCTACTCAGTGGGATATAAAAGAAAAATATGTTTCTTGTTAACTCTCTACTCAATGCTCAATATATTTGAAACTATCAAATCAAAACATAGCGCTTTACATCTGTAATTGGATGTAAAGCAACTATTAATATGACTGTAGACAGTATTGCAGTGAACGAGAACACCAGTGAAGACAACCAAATCTGTGAACCATACAGTGAATACTTCATTTGCAAAATGTCAGTCAATCGTCTCACAATTTATTGTTCATCATCCGTTCTTGTTCTCTTCTACTTCATCTCCTTAACCTTCTATCTTCAGGTATTTCACTTCCGATTGATGATACACACTTTATTATTATTATTTAAACACATAAATATTGGTACAAAGAACTGCCAGATACATATGCGCCATACAAGTCTCATTCGATTTATGTGAGGGCTGTGATATTGTGCACGTGCCCAAATTGAAGCAGAGCGTTTGACCTGAAGGTCTAGTCCACTAGGCAATGGAACATTGTGAGGAGATGCAGTCCTATGGTGGCCGCTGACTAAATAATTGGCTCATACGCCATTTGATCCCTCAGGATACTGGAGCCAGCCCATGTGCACCATTGGTTGAGAATCAGGATTTTCCAACTCCCCTAGGTGAACTTTCCATTTCCAGTAACCCGGTTAGAAGGCCGAAAATTCGCTTTTCGTCTCTCAATTTCGTAAACAACACTCTACCCTGCCGCGAGAAGGCAGTGACTGATTCATACTACTGATATCTTTTGATATCAGTAGCACACACCATACTCAAATCAAGACAATCAAATACAGTCACTGAGTTTACATGATTCAATATTTGAAATGGAATTTTCCATTTATATTTATCAATGAATAGTTGAACAAATGAGTGATTCTTTATTGTTTATTGTAGACAAATCTTAAAATTAATGGTTCCCGTTGTTGAAAAGGCTGAATAGGAAGAAGTCAATGTCATGAAGCCTGTTGATGGTTTACGTGTTGCATCAACATACAGCAAAACACTAAATTGTACTTTATCACTGAAAGTCATTCACAATTGTAAGTGCTTTGTTATGACGTGTAGGTTGACCGGTTTATTCGGATCCTAGCCATTCGGATAACCCCAGGCTAGCACTACTCAGCGACTTGAAAGACCAGAGAGAAGACACGAGTATCAGAGAAGCGCTTTACTACAAGGTTCACTATGTACAGAAAGAACAGGGGTTTTATAGTAATTAAAAGACCTTGAGATTCCATAGTTGCATTATGTTTAACAGTCAATCAGGACCTCATTATTTCAGTAGCATTTTATAAGCATAGCTTCTAAATAATCGCTGATTGGTTAGTCTCTTTATGAGCCGCTCTAGAGGCTCTGATAGAGTTTATTGTAAGCCGACCTAACAGCTTACACTTGTTACAATACAAATATCCATTACATTTGTCATCATAATGCTCTCGTCAATACCGTAAATTATTGAATCCATATTGATATTTCTCTTTATGTAGTGAGAAAAGATATGAAGAAGGTCAACTGATACCGTCCATTGTAGCTGGCTTATTCCTACACGTTTTGTCATTAATTAACAAAT